TATGTATATATATATATATGTATATATATATATTGGGATTGAAGTTTTAATGTTTGGAGAAATATCATTCAGATCTCTCTTTGCCTCTGGAACAGGGACAAGCTGTATTGTCAGCTTAGATCAGATCACCAAGGGACCACAATGAAGAGGCCCTTCCTCCCCCTCCACAACCCAGATGGCTACACACAGTGAATAGGAAGTAGTTGTCAAAGCAACTGAGACTTGTAACTTTATTATAGCTTAAAATTCACAATCCTGATTGATAAAGACTTAAACCTGTATTAGTCATTTTCTAATTAAATTGTCTTGTTCTATGACCTATCCTAAGCTATCCCCAAGGAGACAGCAGTGCACCTATTCAAACTCCTGTCTTCAGGGAGACCACTGTGATAAGAATCTATTGGCAGTTTTTCACCAAAACACTGATAATCACAAAGCATGGAATATTGGGGAGAGAGGCTCTGGGGTATCCAAGTGAGGAATGATGGATAAGTTTGTTGGGGGAGGATGTTTGTTCGTTCCCAGCTGTCCAGACCCAAAATAATCACTCAGAAAGTATATTATTTGCAATACTGTTTGGCCAATAGCTTAACTTAATCATATTGCTATCTAGCTCTTATATCCTAACTAACCCATCTCCATTAATTTGTGTATTACCACGAAGTCATGGCCTACTGACAAAATTTTAACAGGCTCTGGCAGAGGTGTCTATGTCCTGTGGCAGCTTTATGGTATTTTCTTGACTCTGCCTACTCTCTCTATATATTTCTTTTAGCCTCACTTTACTCTGTCAAGCCACTGACTGAAAGCAGTTTTTTTTTAATTAACTAATGGAAATAAAACATAGTCACAGCATACAGAGGGGAATCCCACATCATAAGTTGATCACATATGTGGCTGATGATGATTGACCATTGTCATGCCAGAAAAATGTATGAAAGAAAGGGGACTACAAAGGACTATAGGCTTATTATTTTAAACTTTCAGTTTCATTAATTCAAAACAGTCTAAGCATCATGGGGTTCAAATTATGTTCTGGTTCAAATTCCTAAAGACAGACATTTTAAATACAGTAATGTGTGTGTGTGTGTGTGTGTATATATATATATATATATATATATTACTGTATTTAAAATATATATACAGTAATGTGTATATATATTACTGTATTTAAAATATACATACATACATACATACATACATGTACTTTAAAAATATCCTATATACTAGAATTCCTCCCATTGGAAAACCCACATATTCAGAAAGAAGGCCCTACAGAGATGTTGGAGGTAAAAATAAAGCACCCAGAATACTTAAATAGCTCCAAACTTTCAGCAAACTGCCCTGCACAAGGAAAAGTGGATAAGCAGAGGTTAGAGGAGGAGAGGACTAGGCTGTAACATGATGGGAACCTGGGAGGAGGAAACATCGGTGGGAAAGAGCTGGAAGCTGAGGAACAGAAGGAACCAAGTGAAGAGAAGCCATCCAGTCCAGTTGTCTTGACAAGTTATTTTATCTAAGTATCTGCATGTATATGTACAACTGGTGCCCACAGAGGCCACAAGAGGATATCAGATCTCAGGAACTAGAGTAACAGATAGTTATAAGCACTCAAGTGAACACTGGGAATCAAGTCCAGATCAGGTGCTCTGCAAGAGTAGCTAGTGCTCTTAACGGCTAAGTCACCCAGTTGTCTTGGTGAAAAATTACACCTAAAATGTAGTTTAATGCATTTCTCCAGATGAATCTGTAGCTTTGAATGATGACAAATCTATATACAAATGTTCTGTACAGTAAGTGTGATTTAAAATCTAACTCTGGACCCTAATTCCCATACTGGGTCACCTTACCCAGTCTTGACATGTGGAAAGGTGCTTAGTCCTGCTGCAACTGAATATGCCATGTTTTATTGATGCTCTTGGGAGACCTGCCCTTTCCTAAACAGAAATGAAGAAGGAGTGGACTGTGGAGTGGGAACAGAAGGGGGCTGGGAAGGGGCAGGGAAGAGAGGATGGAGGGGAAACTGCGACCACGATGTAAAACAAATAAATAAATTTAAAAACAAAACAACAACAAAAACTAACCTGGGAAATCCATCCAAGGAACAAAGTCCAATGTAGAGAGAATAGACACTAGAACTTATTTACTCAAAGATAGAATTTCTCATTTATCTCCT